ATTGAACGGTAACTATGTACATTAATGCACTTCTAGGGTACAGTGTGGGGTTTTCACATGCAATCTGAAATACTTCCATCAACTAGTCAACACAGCCTTCATGTCATTTTCTCAGTTATTGCTTTAAAACATTCACATTCTACTCTTAGAAAGATTCACCTGCTAACTTTTTCTATAAAGGGCTGGTTAGTAAATATGTTAGGCTTTATGGACAATAAAGCCTGTGTAGCAACTACTCACCTCTGCATAAAGTCACTGTAGACATTCAGTAAGTGAATGATCATGGCCAGATTTGGTCCATGGACCCTGGTTTTTCAATGTGTGCTCTATATTCTCATTTGCTTCTTATTTTTTTGCCTGACAATAACTGATAGAAGAAATAATACTGCATGATTTAGAAGACCATAGAGATATCTAAATAGATAGCAGAGAAAATTTCTTTAGATTTTTAGTCTAGTACCTATTTTTAAATACTCTCTCTTTCTGATTTTAGACTCACATCTAAGTAGGTAATCATTAAAATTGTATTTCCTAGTATTTTATGTGAGTTTAACATTTATTTTAGTTTGGATTTATTAGTATTATTTTTTCCCCTCTGTAGTGAGATCCAGGAGGCAAAGAAATCACCACCACCTTCTAAAACTTCAGCAGCTACACAGTTGGATGAGCTCATGGCCCACCTGAATGAAATGCAGGCCAAGGTGGGTAAAGCCCAGATGATGGAGCCCCAGGGTCTATGAGGGTGCTGCTTTTTCTTTCTGGAACTTAGCTCTGTATTTCTTCACTTAGGAATTCTCCTAAGTTGTCATTCATTTTCTTCAACTAAATGTAATTCAATGAATTAACTCACCTTTGGGTCACATATTTTTTAGACACAATAGATAATATGGTACAGTAGGCTTGATCTGAAGGAGCCTGGATTATGCTTGGAAACATGAGGTATAAGCCTCTGTAACATTTATAAAATAAAATCCAGGTGGTTTGTGGAGCAAACATTAGGTGACCGAGATTTTACTAGGGACATGGGGATAGGACTTGGGATGGACTCTGAAGAATGGGAGGGGTTTAGACACAAAGAGATGAGATGAGAGGTCAGTTCAGTGGAATGAATCTTGAGGGCAAAGGTATCTAATGCTTGGTGATTTGGAAGGGCCATTGCAGAGACCTGACTGAGCAGGACAGAGAGAACAGTGGGCAAGCTGAGACAGAAAACGGGAGATCATAGTGTGGCTCTGCCAGAAGAAGGTTTAGGAGTCCCAAACCCATACTGAGATAAAATCTGCTTTTTTGTTCTAGCCTTTAAAGTACATCAAGGGTGGTGAGCTCACACGGCTTGGCAGAAAATAGAAATCAGATAAGTGGGCTTAAGGATTTATTAAGAAAAATATAATTTAGAATCATTAAGGCAGGAAATTCAACCATTCTGAATGTTGTAGGGTTTGACATACACTCATAAAGTGGCTATGAAATAATTTTAAGGCAGTATATAAAAATATGTGTGACTGGAGAGGACAGGGACTTATCTTGGTGGCCCACCTTGAGACTTGATATTAAGCACAGTGCCTGTTACATAGTGAGTAGCACACATTTATAGAGGAACAAATGAATAGACATTACAGACAAGTTTTCTTTAATGGCTAAAGTCCTTTGATGGGCTAATGTCTATTATAAATCTGGGTAGACTGGCTCATTGTGCTATATATCTGAAAATACTACAGTAAGTTTACCTTAGGAGATTTGACGGTGTTGTGTTTTCTAATAGATTTGAAATGTATCTTGTTTATTTAAATTTTTAATTTAAAACACCTGTTTATTTTTTTTTTGAATAAGCCATACATTGATCTTGTACAAAAACAGAAAGTACAAAAAAAAAAAAAAAAGAGTTTACACTGAACCGTTTCCCTGTCAGCTCTGTGCCTGAGACATCCAGTGCTTCCCCCTGGAGATAGAATTTCCTGTTTCTTACATATCAGTTCAGAAGAATTCTTATAAATGTACAAGAAAAGAGTGAGAGATGTGTATATAAGTACAGATTTATTGTTGTCTTTTTACTTAGTTGTTTTCATACTTAAGTTGTTAGTCACCCTTAACAGGCCTCTGAGACAGCCTTTTGAACAGTATCCTCTTGAACATTAACAAACATTATAATAAAGGAGGAAGGAAATCCATCAGATAATCAAGGTTTTTGGAAGGGAAATGAACATTTTGATTGATGATATAATGTGACGTTATTACAGGCAGAAAATAGGATGAGTAGAGGCCTGAAGGCAGAGAGTAACAGATTATTCTCAGGAGACTGTACAGAGCCAGGCTGGCCTTGAATAACAGAGGCCTTTTACTGTGTAATAAAAGATGAGATAGGAAAGGCAAGGTGCAGACAGTGGATAGGCAGCTTTGAATTTGTCTGATGACTGCACATTTGATGTGGAGGCAGTGGAGAGCTATGGTAGTTTTCTCATCAGAGAGGTATTAGATAAAGTGTAGCAGGACCCTGGGTGGAAGGGAGTAGAAAGAGCCAGAGTCAGGACATGAAGTGATGAAGTATAGGTTAAGCATCTTCTTTTGTAATCTGAGCATCTTTCTTTGAAGGGATTATAATAATTAGAGTTTTGGTTAAATAAATCCAGGCCATCCACAAGTCTTATCTGACCACTTCTCACCACCTTCTCTCCTAACACTGCCACAAGGGCCCTCTGTCATCTTTGCCTCTGTCTCCTTCATCTTCTCCTGCCGTGCTCAATCTCACTCCCTCTGCTCTAGCCCCACTGATCTCTTTAATTTTTCTTCTAATGTGCCAGACTGTGTTCTTCCGCAGGGCCTTTTCTCCCTCTGGATTGCTTTTCCCATAAATGTCGACATTTCTGGGTCCCTAAGTCTGACACTCAAATATCTGCTCAAATGTTACTTCCTCAGAGGGTCTTCTCTGGTCACCCACATTAAATCAACTCTTCCTCACTATCTTGCCCTCTGTCACTTGTGTCTCCATATATAACTTATAATTTATCTCTCTCTGACATCACATCCTGTATTTATGTGTTTAATCATTTGTTGTCTATCACCGGTGGAAGACACATTCGGTAAGGGCTGACAAGGGGTCGTATCATACATCGCTTTATCCCAAGAGTCTGGAACAGCGATTAGCACAAACTAGGTGCTCAACAAATATTGTGGAATAAATTAATCAAAGCAGACGTGACTAATTGTTGACCTGGGGTCATCGCAAGAGCTGGAAACGGTATCATCTTCATGCATTGAGATTTTACAGTAATAAAAGATTTACAAATGGAAGAATATGAGTCAGACTTTATTTGACCCGAGGAGCATAGAATGAAAGGGAGGTGAAAGCATTTTTATTGGCAGTAAAATGTTGGATTCCTCCAGTGTTTTTGAGGAAGGTCAGGAAAAAGCTGAGAGACCAGTCAGTAGAGGTGAGCTTATAGGGTCATGTAAAGATGCTAATGAGGATAGAAGTACATCAGGCTGATTCTTTTCATGGTTCTTTCCTTGTACCAGGTTGTGGTGAAAGCTGATGCTGGCAAGAAGCACTTACCAGACAAGCAGGATCACAAGGCTTCCCTGGACTCCATGCTAGGGGGGTTGGAACAGGAATTACAGGACCTTGGCATTGACACAGTGCCCAAGGGCCATTGTGCTTCCTGCCAGAAACCAATTGCTGGGAAGGTAGGACAGGTCAAGGTTTTTGTCCTATAACCATCTGTGTCTGCATGGATATTTGTGTCTGTCCTTCAAGGATCTCTCTTTCTCACATTCTAAAACATTTTAGAAATTGTTAATAATTACTGATCACTTAACAGTGCTCTGGCCCCTGAGCTAAGTGCTTTCTGAATATCCTCTCATTTAATGGTCATGTTAGCCTTCCAGGGCTTATTCTTCCGTTTGTAAAGAAAGGAAACTGAGGACTCAGAGACATAAACCCACAGCCCTAGGATCCAGTGGAAGTGGATACCATACGACTGCCCCCTAGTTTGAGCTCTTAACAACTTTTCTGTATTGCCGTTATTGAGGAGATTTTTCTCACTGCTTCCTCTGTTCAAACATACCTTGTCTAAATTTATTGACTACAATTTTCAGCTGAACTCAGCTCCAAATAATAGCTACAAACTCTGCAGAGCAGGAGTTCAGACTGGAGGAATTACAGCTGTCATCTCTTCCCGGGGCCCCTTCCTTGACAAGGCTGTGCTTATCTCTTGTCTCTGCCCTTGTGCCTGTGTTGTTTACCGTCCCTGGAGCAGTGAAGTGGCAGCAAATATTTACCAGCTCTGATTTGAGTGACCAGTTGAGAAAGTGGGCATCCTTTCACTATCCATCACGCACAGCCAACAGACTGCCTTAGACAGACGCTAGGTCTAGGCCTCAGTCTGTGTAACTCTGGGAGGTGTTGCATACATGGCACGTGGTATAAAGAGTGCCCTCTAGAGTTGTGCAGCCTGTAGGTCCTAGAGCTACACTCTAGTGGGCTCCCTGATTGGGTTTCATTTCACTCCCCAGGTGATCCATGCTCTAGGGCAATCGTGGCATCCAGAGCACTTCGTCTGTACTCACTGCAAAAAAGAGATTGGATCTACTCCATTCTTTGAGCGGAGTGGCTTGGCCTACTGCCCCAAGGACTACCACGATCTTTTCTCTCCACGGTGCGCTTACTGTGCCGCTCCCATACTGGATGTAAGTACAACCTCCCTTTACTTCCCAGCCTGTGCCCACCTCCCTCACCACACACACACCAAGCTTTCCTGTAGCTTTTAGAACCAAGGTCATGTTTTACAACTCTGCAGTATTCTAATGTCTCTTTGTGTTCCTTTTCCAGAAAGTGCTGACGGCAATGAACCAGACCTGGCACCCAGAGCACTTCTTCTGCTCTCACTGTGGAGAGGTCTTTGGCACAGAAGGTACAGCCTGACCAGGGAGGCTGAATTCCATACTTCAGGGGAAGTTAGGAGAAGACTGGCAGTGCCTTTCCTGGTAGCGTTTGGCCTTTGGGCCACGGGAATCCTGGTTCCTGCTACTGCCATCCAAATGCCTGTTTCAGTACTGGGCACCATACCTCCTTACCTTTCTCCCACATTTATAACTTTTATTTAAATTGATTTTTAATCAAACAAATATAAATGCATAGTTTAAAAATTCAAATATTGCTCCAAAGGTAATGTTAAGAAAGAAAAGTAGCCTGCTCTTCCCTTTCCCATTCCCAAATCCATCTCTCTTCTCCAAAATCTTTTGGCTCTTTCTACTTTTATGTACTTGTGTGTTTTAAATAATAACTTATCCTTTATAGATTATTTAGCTTTTCCAGTTTTAACCCTCATACATTGACTTCCCATTGGGGAAGATGAGATTTAGGAATGCTATTATTACCTCGCTCACCCTGCCATCTCCCTCCCATTTTCCCAATATGTTAATTATGTTATTTAAACAGGTTAGATCTGCATTCAGTATGCACATTCTGACAGTCATGCAAATATTGCTCGTAAGTAAGCCGTGTCGCAAACTATGATTATTGTAGAGCATGGATTTTGAGGGTCAGACTGCCAAACTCAAATCCGGGCTGTGGTATTTATTAGCTGTATGGGGCAGTTCAAGCCATTTAACCTCTCCATATCTCAATTTCCTCATTGGTAAAATGGGTTTAGTAATACTGCCTACTTTATAGGGTTGTTACGAGGATTTAGTGGCAATAACAGGGCCTGGCACACAGAGTATAGTAATGATTCATATTATTATTATGGTGTCCTTCTTATATAAATCTGTTTTTTTCCCTAGAGTTAATATTTGGATACATTGTTCGTTAACTTAATTTCCATTGTACTTATCACAAATTTATCTGACAGAACCGTGAAAACTACATCTGGTAATAAGTCATTTATATTTTTTTCTTGGAGACTTCCCTCCAAGAGACTTCTATCCTGTTTCAACCTGAAATGGCTTCTTCCTGCTAAGTAGCATTATTCTGTTTCATTATCCTAGAATTATCCCAGAGTTGTTCCTGGGAATTCCCTTTACTACTGTCCTCCTGAGATCCTCTATATCTAGGATCCCATGTCTTTTTCTCTCTTTCTCTCTTTTTTTTTTTGAGACAGTCTCACTATGTTGCCCTTGGTAGAGTGCTGTGGCATCATAGCTCACAGAAACCTCAAACTCTTGGGCTTAAGCAATTCTCTTTCCTCAGCCTTCCAAGTAGCTGGGACTACAGGCACCTGCCACAATGCCCAGCTATTTTTTGGTTGTAGTTGTCATTATCAGGCCCAGGCTGGGTTTGAACCCACCACTCCGGTGTATGTGGCTGGTGCCCTAGCCACTGAGCTACAGGTGCTGAGCAAATCCATGTCTTTTAATGCTCCACCTTTATTTTGGTGGAGCTCATTCTCTAGGAGCTTCCTGAGAAGAGATGAGTAAAGATAATATTTTGAGAACTTGAATATCTGAAAATCGTTTTATTCTGTTATAGCCCTTAAGTTGCCTGAGTATATAATTCTAGGTAGAAACTATTTTCCCTCATAATTCTGAAGATATTGCTTTACTGCCATCTAGTTTTTCATGATTGAGATGTTTTCATTAAGATTTGATTCTTATTCCTAATCCATTTTATGTGATTGGTTTTTTCCTCTCTGCAAGTTACTTTTTTCTGTTTTCTGAATTAATCTTGATTGTTTTTGACTTCTTTTTATGTTTGTTTCAAACAAATATGATTTATACATGGAATCAGAAAGCTTCTTTATTTTGTCTTTTCCTCTCCTTTTAGAATTAACTCAGCAGGGAAGGTTTTCTCCTCTCTTCTAAATAAAAACTTGGGCAGTCCCATGTCTTTTCTGGTTGCTCTTAATAGATAGTTCTAAATATAAAATCAATTTAGGACAAAACACAAACACTAAGTCCTTAGGTAATTCAGTCTGTATAACAGCTAATGCTTCCAACTTTTAAAAAGTGACAGCCACTTCATTTTCTGATGGGGTCTTCAAGGTACAAGACAGGCCAGAAGTGTGGCTTCAAAGTTCAGGCAGCCAGGCCGGTGACCACACTCATCACTATTGCTGATCTTGACATTGGCCCCTCTAGGGTTGAAATACTGAGGAGATAGGAGATGAGAATGGAACAAGGAAAGTTCTGACTTGTCTGGGATTGTTGCTAGGTTGGCCTTATATTCTCTGGGGCTGGCTAACCTTTAACTCTGACTTTTTCTCCTTGGATACTTTTGTGGATTAAGTAAAGGTCCAACATTGAGCTCCTGGTTTCCCTTTACGTGTCCTGGCTAGCTATTCTCCCTTTGGCACTTTCCTTGGAGGATCCTTTTCCCAGAGATTTTGTGTGTATGTGTGTGTAGTTTGTATTATCCTCTCCTTGTGACCCCTTGGAAATATTTAAAATGGTTCCATATCATCTCTTACACTAAAATTTTCATAGAAGGACCACCAGAAACTTGTACTTTTCTCTAGAAGTCAGTGTTAATTTTCAGCTGCCTCCCTTATTTTTCTGCCATTGACACCTTCAGCCAGACTCTCACCTGTGGACTTTTTTCAGGGCTGAGTCAGATACCATCAACTATATCCCACTAATGGCAAAGCACAAGTGTCCAGCTCTCTTGAGTGGACTCTCTGAGTGGACCCACTGGAACCCCTCTATTGACTGACATGGTTATTGTGAACCATTTCTCATCCCTCTTGGTGATGGTGGGACTCTTATTGCATGGTTTTCTCCAAAGGATACCTCTCTCAATTTTCCTTTTTATATCCTCATTGTGAATGAAGAATTCAAGAATTGTGTAAACAGTTGTAGGCTCTCTGTTTTGATGGATGTCTTGAAGCTCAATTCGGAACTTGGTGTTTATGACATCTTAGTTAGTACCTTACATATTTTTACTTTGGTCTTTGTCAGATGTTGCTGATCATTGGTTGTCTGTTCCTATTTAAGAACAAAACACTATTGATTAGAAGCTTTCTAAAAGTTCCACACAGAACTTTTTGACTAGTGGACTCAACTGTAAAACACTCAGAACAGTAGCAGGTGCTTACTGTCCATAGATGATTATGATGTGAGAGTCGTGTGGGATCCGTAAGAAAGGCACTCTGGACTTTTTGGGGGGACCCCTGAATATTACTGTCAGAGGTTTTTTCTCAAGTCAATGATACCAAAGAGATTCTCTGCTAGCATTCTGAGATTTAAATAAAAAAGAAAGGAATGGGGAATAGAGTTTTCACCATTCAGTATATCACTTTTATTTAATTCTCATTTTTCGGTAGACATCTTGATTCCATTCTTTATGGTGTCCAGTATCCCTGATCACCAAGACTCCTTGGCTCAGTATTTCACTGCACCTTATGGTAGAGTGGGGCATCTGACTTTCCAATGGATTTTTAGACTTTCAGGCAGCTTTTAAAAGGACCTCATCCATCCAACTCCCGAACCCGTGCAATGTTGTGGCATTCTGGATGGCTTGATTCTTATTGATCTCTTATCTGTGGAGATGTAGGTTCCAGTTTTCTTGTTTATTTCAAGCCACTTGACACTCTTATAACCTACTTTAAAATCCTAAAAAATTTATTGATTTCTCCTCTGGTGGCGTCTCCTTTGCTTTTATCTTTTCCCTTATGGCTCTTTATAATTTATATAATTCCTTAACTGTCATGTTAGTGATGTTCAGGAGAGAATGAAGAAAATTTCATGTGTTCAGGCCCTTCACCAATATGAAGACTTTCCTAGATATCAGGCACATTCTTGTGTGTGCTGCTAATAATCATCCATTGAATCCCCACCACACCTTGTAGGAGCAATTTTATTCCACATTATACCCAGTAATAGATGAAAACACTGAGCCTCAGGCAGGTAGAGTGATTTTTCTTAAAGTCACACAACTACAAAGTTGAAAAGTAATAAGAGTAAATTTTAATTCAGGTATTATTTCTACAAGGTTCATGTGTTTTCCTAAAACACCACAACTGTCCCTTGACGGAGACTCAGTTTCTCTTCTGCTGTTGAAAGAGCAACTTCTTCTCTGTTTCTTTGTACTAACATGATCTGCTTTATTTGACCACAGACCCAGGTACAGTCACACCATTATCATACACTAGCAAAGCGCTTTGTGGTAATTTGCTTAGTCACTGGAGCTTGCACAATACCTTTTCACAAAGCATTAGGCATTTTATTCTAGATCACTTAGGTTCAGGAGCATTTTTCATTGACACTCAATCTAAATCATATTAAAGTGTGTCATAGTAAATTTATATTGTACTAGTAGCCATAGAAGTCTGAGAATTCATTTGGGTAGAACAGTAAGCAGGTGCATTAAGGGAGATTATGATCTGGGAGTTGTCTGGGAGCTGAACAGTTGGATACCAGCACATTTCAAGCAGAGACACAAGTTAGATATAAAAGACAAGTAACCAATTAGTAGGATGACTAAAAAGCATTGTTCTTGACTTGGCTCCTTCTAAGATAGGGTGGTTAACTTCTCCCTGAGAAGACCCCTAAGTTAAGTGAAGGCCTAAGCTATCTGGGTATTTCAGGGAAGTAATACCTACTTGCCTATATAAGCAAGCTGGTCAAGATCATTTATAAATTTATATAAATATGAAACTACACTTAAGACACATTTATAAATGGAGACATCTGACAGATATTAATCAGAGTTTATTAATCGGAAGCTCCTCTTTGGTTGTATTTCCATTTTTATCTCTGGCTTTCTGTAAATGGGTCTCCTACCATATGGTCAGTGTATTAATTAGGTGGCATCCTGCCTTACCCCAAGTCACATAATCACGCACAGTTTCTATAATGACAGTTTAACCACCGAGCCTCCTGGGAAATTAAATTCACCTGCATTTTTTTCTTCGGTTCAGAGATCTCCTCTTTAAAGTTCAAGTTTTTAAGCACGCCTGGTCCTATCATCCTCCTGCAG